TACTACACTGCGGTGCCAGCCCCATCACCTTTGAGCTTTGCTCTGAATACAAAGGACGCTGATGCGATGTGTACGTAGAGTGAAACAGAATAGGGCTGTTGTGTGCTAGCGTGTGCAGCAGCCTCTGCGCCAAGAGGGTAAGATGCCGCGGGTATCTGCATATCAAGCAATCAAGTAAATTGTAGACCTTCATTCGGACTTAAATTTTAAGTATCTTCAGCTGCTTTAACTATTTGGACATTGACTACATCAATCGCAAGTCAAGTAGACGACAATTTATAAGTACAGCATCTAACGCCTGCATAGAATAAAGTACTGATGAATGGTAGAATAAGTCATCGCGAACACTTGGTCTCGTCTAATGGCACCGCAGCCAAGCCAATCCAGTCAGTTCGCCAATATTATTTTATTTTTATAATATTTTGTCCAACTCGAAAATTAAAATATTGTCGAGCGCTTGCTACGGTACACGCCCTATCACGACCAAGAAAAGCGTTTATCTAGTCGTTTTAGCACTCTCGCGAGTTTAACAAAATTAGTTCGTAGCTCCGAAAATTGATAGGATCATTATACGGAAGAGCGTTGGAGGATACTATGTGTTAAGGTCAAATAGCCAAGCCATCGTACTCTATACGAGAGCTGACTGCTCAACTGCTTCTTCCCCTGTCGACAAGTTGGTCAATCATAGTGACAAATCACCCGCTCAACAGCTCTTTTTAATGATTAATAAGAGAAGTGGGGCTGATCGATGAAATGATTGCTCGACTCTGACATTAGAAGAGCGTCCACCGGGCAAAGGGTCAGGCACTTGGTGCTCGCGATGCGGTAGAGCAAAAACCTCAATGTCTAGATAAATGGGCATGAGATGAAGACTAATTTGCTCCGTGATGCTCTAGCCCAGAGTTCAACAATTGAGTTTCGGACTTCATATTTATTCGGGGAGTTGCAAGGCTCATGCGGCTACTGACGGCTGAGAAGTCTCGCGATGCATATCGAGAAAGCCTACTGCGCTCCGTCGAAGAACATGTTTAGCTCTCGAGGCGCATCGTAGTGAATAATATTAATTCTTCGAGTATTAGAGTCAGTGAAGGAGTGGAGGAGTAATCCTCCGATATCCTGCAACGCTTTTACGCTGTGAAGAATTCTTAGGATGTGAAATGGGTGACTCTTCGCGGTAATTTCATGATCAGCTCGATCGTCTGCGGAAAGTAGTGGAGGATTTGCAATTCCACTGGAAAGGTACGACTTTAGTCTACCAACATAAAATCTAGGTCTTAGGTTCTTGCGTGCAGGTATTTCTAACGTGTAGGCATCACCAATACATTTTACTATCTTCAAAGGTCCAATGAACCCTGGAAGGGGTTATTTTAGCTTAGACACTGCATATGTAGGCAAGTTAGCCGTACTAAGTAATACAAGATTGCTGATTTTATACAATAGCTTGTTCTTCCTACCGCTCTTATCTGCTTGACCTTTTTGCAGGCCTTGAATCTTCGCAATTGCGTCTCGAGCAAACCTGACAACTGTTTATCTCCTCACGACGAAAGAATCAACATGACTTGTCCCATGTCACGAAAATTCATCAAGTCTAAATTCATGGGTCTGTGACAGCATTCGGGTCTGACTGTGGCTTTTTGGCCATGCTCTTCCCCACATAAAGTAGGCATCTCTCCTAGTAGGATGGAGTCTATTGCTCACATAATATCTGGAGTGGCCTGGTGAGACATACGTGGAGTTTTTCGGCCCAAACACTGCGAGTGGGAGAAACTTCCTTCACTCTCTAAGAATCGTCGCGCAGCTGCGCAACACGTGTAACAGGCACGATTTACTCGTTCAGTTTGTAGTATGTCTCTGGGTTTGTTGCTGTTAGCATATGTAGTTACGCATCTAAGATGCCAAGTAGAGTACGCTAGAATCTGGACATTACCAAACCTCACGGTTTGATTACGATAATACGAAGGTAGACCATGTAAGCAGAACACCACGTGTACGAAGACTTGAACAGTCATTTCCATAGAGAACTCACCCGAGATCGAAGTAATATGCTTTATTTTACTAAATCGGTCCCCAAATACCAGGATGCGATTCATGCCAACTTTGTCTCTTTGGTAGTCCAGCCATAGAATCCCGACCAACGGACTTTCAGCTGTCTTGTCATGAACAGGGTGATGGCGTAGTAGACTTGAATGGCTTAACTATTTGACACACATCACAAGTACGCACGTACTTGCGAGTCCACTTGTACATGTGTAGCCAATGACAAGTCTGAGACAACTTATAAAATGGTTTTACTCGTCCAAGATAGCCAATTGAAGGAATGAAGTCTGCGACGCAAACCTTTATCCTTGACGACAACGATTCTCACAGATTCCGTCGGTCAACTGCGTATTACAGCGGCCCATTATGCACGTTGTAACGATAGCCTTGCAATCTTGCCATTGGTGAGAGGGTCTGGAGCGGCTTATTCGAAGATTTCTTGAAATGCCTTATAAAATCCCGGTATACTCGATAATGCTTGTAACTTCCCGGATATTTCATCTTGGATAGTGCTTGTTGCCCCTGTAGTAATTGTATTGACGTCATCACAAATACTGTACGCTAAATTTGTGTTGTCGCTCTTGTTCTTCGAGTCATAATCCGAGCTCTTAGACAGTCAGTATGTAGACTTTAATTTGCCGCGATCGTAATGTACATCAAAGTTGTACTCTGCAAAGAACAATTTCCATCTTGCCATTCTTTGCGATAGGTGAGGCGCGGATGCGCGATTAGTATAGTTGGGTGACTCGCTCCTCACCAAGCAATAAGACTCGTTACTTGCGTTTTTCGTGGTCAGAGGTTATTTAAAGGCATATTTGTTTTCAAAATGTCGTGACTTATCCGACACATCCCTTTCTCTGCCCCCATCATCGTGTTGCATCAGTATGCAATATCTCTCGCGCAGCAGACTACATGGAACGGAGTCTCTTGATCTGCAAAAAAATAAAAGCTTCTTTTTAGCAATTCCTCACTTCGGCAAGCGCTGCTGATACTATTCAGACCACTCCTACTCATTATTATTTTTTCAAGAGACCCGCTAGCGGTTAAATTTACCCAGCATAATTGCGCGAATATTTGCGCGAGTAGTTTGCCAAACTCATTGTTCGGCAATTTTAGGCCAATCGTCAATTACTTTGCCTTAACTAGTGATTAGCTCAATCACTATTCTGGCCAACAAAGCTGTCGAATGAGAGAATCACAGAGGCAAAGAGAATCTATTTCCTCAGGTTCGCGAACAATGTATTATCTCATCGTGATAGCCTTGACAAAGATATCAATCAAGGTGAATATTAACGGCCTTCATCTTCTTCAAACCCTTACTATGAGCAAGTATGTCGTCAAATTAGCTCGGTTCGAACTCTCTTAATGGACAAAGTACAGACATTTTCGTCAAAAGTCGCTGGAGCATTCTTCAAAACTTGTGGCAACTTCTTCCATTTCCACAGCATATCACTAGGGGGCTTACTATAGTGAGAAGCACATCGCGCTCGCGCATACACCGCATAACAGATTTAATATAACAGTTTTTAAATCGACGGTGCTAAGGACATATTATAGAAGAGTCATATCTTCTCGTGGAACAGGTATCGGAGCAGGTATTATCGTATCATTCAATTTACTGAAACATCGAAATACCGTCAACCTGGTGTTCTACACATAGAAGCTGAGACGAAAGTACAAAGACTTGCTCACATGCACATGACCAACTTTCAGTAGCTGCGCAAATATTTTCTCAATCACATCGACTCACTTTCGGTAGCCCCTATTGCCTTGTGATACAGTACATCGCTCCTGGTGTACATCTATTTCCTAACAAATGTTTCTTTCATGTGGATACTCGTCTAGTACTTGTCTAGGAATATACATATTCATGGACAAGCTCATACAGAAAACTTTTTTTAAAGCTACCCCATACTGCACAGTAAACCATTTTTATCGTAGCTTATCATCAGATATTTTTGCAGTGTTGACGATATCGTCGATAGATTCTTTGAAGATCGCACATAACAGCAAAATTTCGACTTTCTCCAAGTTACGCTTAAGCGTCTTCTTGCTCACCAAATGGAAGGTGATTGAATCTTAAGCCTAATTTGGAGGAATTCTAACTTAAACGCGATGCACTATTTTGCCGTGGCCATCTATTGGAGACTACGAAATTCACAAATTCGCCTGATGTTTTTCGTTCTTCAAAAGTCACTATTCCTCTTCCGTTTTTCTTGTGTCTTGAGCAAGGACGCTTGCAGATCGTCGTTTTTAGTCTTTAAATAGTGTATTAGCTCAAATCCACATCTTGCTTGGTCTTCAAGCACTTGTTATTTGAAGCTGAGAAGCTATCGCAAGCCTTGCTCCCATCTAAGCACATCTACAAGAGATGTGTGATCCAAAATTCTGCGAAAAAAAAAGGGAGACCTTCGTCGACTTACTTCCCTACGGCGATCTTCCTCCGGCAATTATTGTGGGCATTCCTGGAATCGAATCAGAATTGTCACCGAGGTCGAGTGCGAAAAACTCGTCTTCGCCTCGGAGATCGGAGATCATCATATTCAATTGTCATATGCAATACTTGCTTAGATATCGTCACATTTGATCCATTATCCAAGCTAATGATCATATCTTGTTCGTGTTAGGCACGTCCGAACCTTGCCATCTCACAACTTGCATGCGATTAATATTGTTTGGCGCACTAATGTCTACTACATTTTCCTTTTAAAATTCAAGAAACCAGATCTTGATTTGCGTTAGAAAGACGGTGTATGAGTTGACACTATGCGTTTGTTAACGTGGACCCTTCGATTTAAAGCGTCCTCTGTGGAAGGGGCCACGGTATTATCGTAGCGCTTTGTAGCACTTGTCGTCAATATGACGACTTCACCGTGAGATATTTTAGTCACTGTAAGGATTAAGAATGAAGCACTCACTCATTTGACCTTGTGTCAATAAGAAGCACTTAGACCGCTTATATTCTAGTTGTCCCCGGGAAAATACTTACTAACCGTCACAGACACAGAAGCTGCGATTGCCTGGCCGGAGCTACGAGGGTTTACAAGTGCGACTTCCTCAGGAAAACTCTTCTGCATGTCTATATGGAACAAAACTGTTTTTAGAACTTTTCATAAAATGTTGAGGTAACCATGGAGTTGGCCCTACTCCAAACATAGCAAAAGCGCGCTGCAACAGCGTCACCAAACGAGGGGATTTTGCGACGGGTGTTCCGACTCCTTGCGCCACCAAATCTATCTTACCGCGTGCGGTGCAAATTGTATTTACTGTCATTGAAAAAAAATGATATGAGCTTCATTTGGCATTTCATACTTGATTTTCTCACCGAGAAGTGTTTCAATGCGTCCAATCTGAAGCTCTCATTCGAAACCGGTAGCAGCTTTCGTATTCACGACATATTCCCGTATATGTGCGATTTGCTCCGATCAACGTGGTGCGAACACAGTCTCGTCGATCGTCACCACGGATACCTTGATGGGGATCCACGCACGTTTTGGTCATCTGGCGCTGGACAGCATTGAGGGCATGGTGAAAAACCCTGCATCCGGTATCAAGATATCGAACCGTGGGAGGACACCATGTTTGGTTTGTGCTGAGGGCAAGCAAACTCGAGCAAAACAGCCGACCAAGGTCATTGCAAAGCACTCACCGATTGACAAAATCGGAGTAGTCATTTGTAGCCACTCGAAGGGTCCGATGACACCGCTTGATCGTCAAGGTAATCGATATATGGTCAACTTCGTGGACCACAAGTCAAACAACTGCGAGGTGTTCATGGCAAGAAAGACGAACCTGGCTGCCAAAAAGTTTGAGGAATTTCTTGTTGAATTTGAGAAACCGTTTAGCTGTTGAATACACGTTCTCCGCACGGATGGCGAAGGAGAAAATCAAAGCGTGGATCTCTTTTGCAAAGAAAACAGAGTGGTCCGTCAAGTGTCTGAAGTCGGAATCAAGCTGCAAATGGGAAAGCGGAGCGGATGCACCGCACAATCCTGAACATGATTCGTTGTCCAGGAACCAGATACTGCGTAGCACGTCGATAGCCCCTGCCGGAGGAGCAATGTGACGTTATTGACGCCTTTTTTTGTGCAAAGCTCGAGACAGAAATGGTGCGTGAGAGCAAGTCTCGTCATTCGACACCCACGTTTTGGGTCTGGAAGCCGAACGGCCATGGTGTTTTGCGCAGGATTGCCGCTCAGTTTATGGGGTGACGCAGCTGAGTACGCCACAAACGTACTGAACCGGACCTCGTCACGCGCCAATGAGGATCGGAAGGCGCCACTCAAGACATTCTTTGTTAAGCGCCAACCCGTTGTAACATCGTGGTATCCGTATCCAAGTGTTCTGTGCTTCGTGACTCTGGTAGGCTCGCCATGAACAAGAGGTCGTGTGAGGGCGTCATTGTTGGGAAAGAACGAAAGCAAAAGTAGAACTTTGGAAAGCAAAGTGATTGTCACGCGCCATGTGCAAAACATATGCACAGTGGAGGAGGACGCAAGCGCCAAGACACCAGCTGCTTGAATGCCCACGACGAAGGCATCAAAGTGAGGTAGTAAGCAAACCCGAAGATCTCGTCAGCCGCACCGCAAGTCACGCCGCCGTGCTGAAGCTGGTGGTGATGCGGAGATAAGCGAGTCAAATTACCCAGTGGATCTTTAGCTTTTACAGCTTCCAAAACCAATGCCGTTAACCCGCATTTTGATGACCCGAGGCCGAAAAACGTTCGGCAGGCGTGCAAGTGTGCTGATAGTGCACTGTGGGCGGCGGCTGAACAGGAAGAGCTAGCTGCTCTGCAAGCCAACAACACGGGAAAGCTCGTCGAGTGCAAGCCTGGTGCAGTTTGCTTGTATACCAAGTGGATGTACAAGAAGATGCGAACGGTTATGGAAAAACTGAGCGGTACAAAGCTCGACTGGTCGCCTGCGGCAACGAACAGAAGCTCAACATTCATTTTTTCTCTTGTTTGCGGCTGTGATTACAACTGGTGTCGAGTTCATCTTCTTCATAGCGTTTTATTGGGGCGTTCCTGCCAGGTGATGTTTTAAACGCGTATGACAACGGAGGAGGGCATCGGGTCTTTCTGCTTGTCCCAGACGGACTCGTCATTACAACAACAGAGCTTAAGGCACTCGGAGCAGAGAGCGTGGAAGAAGTTGGGCTGCCTCTTGGGCAGAACCTGAACGGATTGTAGCAGGCAGGGCGCCTCTGGCATGAACCCCTACATCGTGTGTTGCTCAAGCTTGGGTTTAGCCGATGTATCACGGACGCGTGCTTATACTTCAAGGCTGTCAGCGATGGGATGATGATTGTCGGGACATACTTGGACAACTTAGTAGTGACTGGTACAAACGACAGCAGGGTTTCTCAATTCTTCACTGACATTGCTGTGCTGGAGCTCAAGGACCTCGGCGTTTCCAGCAAAATTTTGGGAATTCGCGTTCAATACAATGAGCTCAATAGCTACAAGTTCGACCAAGAAGTTGCTTTTGTGGAGATGCTCACCAAGTTCGGATTGGAAAAAACCAATCCAGTGCGCGCATCAATCCGAGGAGAAGTTTCGGCAGAGGCTGATATGGTCAAGCTACAATCGCATGCGACGAAGAAGACAGTATCGGTGGAACCGACGGTTTCTAGCTTTCAATCACTATTGGGGAGCTTGCTGTGGCCACAGACAAGCCATCGACATAAATATGCCTAATTTTACGCTGAAAAGCCGATCTAAAATTGCTTGCTTGTAACTTCATAAGTGACGGGTAACTTATAGGAGCGAGATGAGTTACTTTACCATATGACCACAATACCGGTAGGCCTAAATAAGTTTTAAGTAAACCAAATAAACAACTGGACTTATAATCCACAAGGTTCGGTGAGCGGTCGTAAGGTTGGGGCTATATGAGCGAGCCGGAATCACTGTATCTCAGCCAAGCTGATAATGAAGAGAGTTGAATTTTCGGTTGCTAAGCACGAAGCACCGCGGTTTCATGGCGTACAAGCGCACAGAACTTGTTAAGGAAGTAGCTAGAGTAGCTCCAAGGGATATTTGACTCTCAGCTCTGTCCCAGGTTGGAACCCTTTTAAGCTTGTCTGGGAAGTTCAAGGACATAAAAACGCTGAGCTGGTACTAGCAATAGCGAAATAGGTACCTGACCTCGTACTTTTTATGGATGAGTTCGTAATAGAAAATTAGTAGTGAGTGCAAAAAGCTGGTTTTTTTATTTTTATGGGTCTGATGGATCTCCTTGCTCTGACATTGTTACAGGAAATCCGCCAAGGGTATTATTCCCAGAACGGAATGTTTCTCGGCTTCCAAAACCTGATAACTGTTTCATATGCAAGTAGGCTCTATCGAGGTAATGGATTGATGTCATAGCCGGTGGCATTCACGCAACGCACGAATTGCATTGAATTCAAGCCACCAAATTTTAAAATTCGCGGTCGACTTTCTGATTTTGAAATACTTACAGCAAGTCGTGGTTTGTGAGCGTTGCTAAGACGCCAAGTGAGGCCACGATTTCAGTGCAAATGCCAACTTTTTGAAAGAGCTGCTGAGGGTAAACTTTTGGCAATGATCTTTTTTTGGGCACTGCTATTAATTTCGGTGAATCAGTTATATCAGCGAGTACCCCAAGAAGAATGACTTCTTATACTCAAGTAGATGTCTAGTGTACTTACTCGATGCCCGGTGCCGTAGTTGTAAGTCCTCATCAACTGAATGAACAGAACTATTTGACCATACATCGATTATACAAATACAGACTACCAAGATATTCGGCACAGATATTGATGACTTGCAAGCTGCGCACGAGTTGTGCTATAACATGCTTGTGTCAAGAATGCGTTAGCAAAGGTTCCATCAGGAACCATGGCTTTCGCAAAGATCATACCCGCACTTTTCAACGGTGTGTGCCTTTTACCCAATTGATTTACGAATATGGCTGAATACTTGAAAAATAGGAGAGACAATGCCAATGACTAAGACACCGCAGGGATCGGTTATAGAACAGCGGAAGTGGTGACTTGAAAAAATATGTTTCAATTTCAACATTTGTGGACGCTTCGGCTACTGCCATTAGCTGGGCTCTGATACAGGTTCATATCAATCGACTCAAGCACGTTATTGCCTCTGATTATAGCCGTAATGTTATTATAGAGAAGAAACGATACGCTCATACATATGGAAACTTTATTTGCATCGAGCACATCAAAGCAAGAAGATTGCACTTCCAAGACTTTCACAAAACTAATTAATTAACCAATAGGAAGCCCCTGCTGGTTGCTCCCGTTATTTTGCTTTTGGGGACGCTTGAATTGTCGGTCATTGCCAAATCGATTTTATTGTACCCCATGTGTCGATTGCTACTTTGCAATGGCACATTACAATCTCTCGTGATATGATTCGGCCTGCCGCAACGAAAACTATTTCCGTCATTGTGTGGCTATCTGTCGGCGTTCGCTTAGGCGTACAAATTGTCTATCGATTTCAGACCATCGTACGGTGTGGCTTGTTGCCGTGTTGGGTGAGCGATGAATTCACTGAACTTGGATAGCTTGATGCTAAATTTTCTTGGCACTCTCGATCGCGTCATTTAACGTCTTCCAGTATTCACGGAACAGCTGATTCCGGATCGGATCGTCATTGAACTCTGCCACGAATGTCAGAAGTTGCGTTGCTACATTAATTGGGTTGCTTACGATATTCGACACGAGCGATTACGACCATCTTGCACCCGAATTTAGGCCTTACAAGCCGTTAAAAACTCAGTGTGAGCTTGAAGTTTGCCCTACCGTTGGTCGGAAGCCTTCTTCGGATCTCACTTTATGTCGTTCACGCCGTATAAGCAAGTTGATTTCAGCAAACCCTTTTTAACGCTCAATTAATCACAAGGTCAGAAATCGACAATAACACTTGCTGCACATGGTCCACGAATTGCCTAGCATCAACCGCAGCATCCAAGTATACAAACCATCTCGCCAAAGGTTCGTTCTCTCAGCTACGGAAATTTGGCGGAGAACTTTTCGCTGTCGTGGCAGAGGTTGTAGCCAATTGGCGAGAATTCATGAACTTGTGATGCATGGAGCTCGTAGCCGCATTCCTGTGCTCGACCGGCTATGCTGGTCCCAATAAGCTAGTCATAGTCGCCTCGTCAATGACTTCACACATACGCTCAAGGGCTGCCACTTCATGGCGCGCAAATGATAAAAAGGCTTATACAAATGTTCCACTATCTCTTCAGGCATCGGACTCATCGATATGCCCATCTTAATGTTTCTCAAAATGCTCATCTTAATGTTTTTCAAAATCGGACGAGGGTCTTAAAGTGACCGCGAATATTACGGATTCTTTCTACCATGTGACGAAAAATCCACTAGCAATGTTGCCTTCAATTAGGGAGTACATATAAAAATTGATTCGGTCCCATAGACTGTATATTGCTTCACATGTCGATGACTTATAGTGCGACATCGAAGACGCTAATTCCGAGCAAAGGTGTAACAAACTTATTAATACATCAGCGACGTCAATCGTTTTGTAACACAGCTGTTCGGGCCACGTTGTGGCTATAAGAAAGTTTTTTGACAATGTCTATCTTCATTGTTATGAAAGGCACGTAAAGGCGAATGTGGAAAGTCCATTGTACACCTGTGAGCGGTGCTCGTGTGTATGCAATTGAATAAGCTACTTGTCACATAGTTATGTGTGTCGCTGGTGCCGGTCCAATGCACTTTATGAAAAAAATATCTAAAAAGCAGGACCTGTGGGTCGATCCCACAAATATAAAGACCAATTTAGTTTGTCCAGGGACTCTGCCCTCAGGAGGCTTGAGATTTCGTTTGGTCTGGTCACCACGTCCACAAATACAGCGCGAGCCATACCGACCTGGCACGAACCCTCACCAATCTCCTAAAGAAGATGTCTGTTGGTGTTGGGCCCATATAATGATAGCTTTTAAGGCTACGAGAAAAAAGCTTTACGCGTGCCCGATTCAGTTTTTCAAAATTCAAAGTAATTACTCTGCATCGTCTGCGGAGCTTTGGCTTTTGAAGTAGACTGCACTTTGCTCAAGCAGTTGACAACAGACTTGAACGCGTGGTCGCGTCTAATGCTCTCCAGCAGGAAGCAGCATAAAAGAATTACCTCGTCTGCAACAAGGAGCTACATGCAATGAAATATCATTTAGTCGAGTAAAAGATGGGCCTGATTGACTCTTATCCATACAGATCATGCGTCGTCGCTGTGCGCATCGACGTGAGCACGTCTCTTACAGAGAATAGCAAGACGATTTTTTTGCAGGGTATATCTGAGTGAATTATAAGCCAGATCGAATCAAGGTGGTAACGGATGCGCTTTTGCGAAACTCCGACTACCAATTGCCGCGTGACACAATGGTGGCATGTAAAAAAAGTGATACGTATTGCGCATGGGTCAGACATAACATATTGTGTGCCTCTGTGCGCAATGGGAGCCAAGGATATTGAGAGCTTGGATGCCGTTCTTTCGAAGCGTGCGGTCGCACACCTGCATAGCTCTGTCTTATCCAAGACCTGCTATATTACATCACTGACCTAGATGACACCTAGCGTGTAGTGTTGCCTCGTGATGAGGAGGACACTGTGCGAGGTACATGACATCCCCTTTGGATGGTCGTTCTGAACAAAAATAGCACACTGCTGGTTTAGTGCTATGGATTCGCTGCCTAACATGTATAAGTGAATAAGCACATATGTGTTCACGTCTGAAACGTGTTTAATGAGCTCAACCCGTGCCCTTCTCTTCTCTTCTCTTCTCTTCTATTCTCTTCTCTTCTCTTCTCTTGATCGTCGTCGGTTTGCGGGTAGCAGACGGTCGACAAATTTAATGTGGTGCCGAATCCCGCCAGACTTCGCGATGAAACGCGGATCTCTATTCGATACATTACGGCAAGCCATGTTGACGAATACACTTTGCCGAGAAGCCGCTTGGCTGTATCACATCTTAAAGCTATAAAAATATAGGCGATGTTTAAATGTTTGATACAGTAATGGTTTGCGAAGTGCTTTATACAGTGATTTTGTGCGAGCAAAAATGAATTATCTAAAAACGTCTACAAAGATCACAGTACTGATACAACAGGACGAGACCGGTTAGGCCAGAAATGTAGTCCATACTGATGGTTTCTTGGTACTCTATCGAAACAGCAGGCTGGCCAAAGGTTCTGCCGCATACGACAGAACGTGTGTACTACGTTGTAGAGGATGTCTACCAAAACGTCGAGCAATTGGACCGCGGCGCTGAAGCAACTTATTCCCGCTGATTGAGACGGCGTTGAATAACGCGGTACATGCCTCAACAATTTAATCTGATATTACATACATGGTTTTACTTGTTGATATCATCCCAGCTTCACTTTGCAGCAAAATCAGCGAGTATGTCTCGATGAGGTCGAGCTTCATCCGTAGGGCGGACAACACTATGACTGAGATTCAAGACAAACAAAAAGCAACCTATCGATCGCCATCAGTCTTTACTACCGCCTGGGTTTCGTTGCTCTTTTTCGTTTGCTTTTCTTATTGTTGTTGTATCTTGTTTTTCACCCAACCAGGAAAACTCACACAAATATGGTGTAGAGCAAAATCGTTTAAGCTGAAATTGATACATCTACACATACATTGTCTGCCATCTATGAGGCTAATTTGCAACCGTGCTGTATTGAACCATTC